CCCCCTCAGCCTCAGCTAGTTAAATAATCAAACAAATCTACCCAACCCGTAGCCTCAGCCATCTGAGAGATGAAACGCTCCTAAAGTTGCCCCGCTGCTTCCACCGGTGCAATAATGAAAATGAACACAAAACGGTGTTTTTTTGTATATTTTAGGAAAATGTAAAAGAAATGTGTCTCGCTGTACACTGCTTGCGGAAAGATGGTGCAGATGGTAAATGCAAAATGACTCAAAACAAAGGAGAGAAGCTTATGTGGACCCCTTGTTAATTAAATTGAAGTGTAGGGTAGAGAGACGGTCCTGATTTTTTTCCAAAGACAGTGTTAGTAATGGTGATGGTGATGGTGATGATGATGTGAAGCTTTACCGCAAAAATTACAGCATTGGTCATTTGTTCAAATTCTTTAAAATGTGTGTTTTCCTGACAAGTGACCTCTTGCAATCATGCCAATAAATATTTTCCTTCTCAATAGCAAAGGGGAGCAGCAGTATGACACAGTTATACAACCACAAAGCCATTTAGAAAGAGGTCAGAGTGAATGGCTGGGCATACAAAGAGTATGAAAGCAGTCTATCTTTTTCCTTAAGGGGGTCCCTTTTATATCATTTAGTAAACTGACGACTCCTGACTAAGTGACATATGTCAAATTAAATGACTCATGCAGATTATTTACTGTTTAGGGAACCTTTTATACAATAATACTATTATTGTATTGTATTATTGTATTATGATTTTTTTAACAATCACACATAATTACTAGGCTTCTTTTTTTGTGACAAATTCAGTGTTTTCTTATCCCTGGCACTTGGTCATTGTTAGATTTGACAATTTACTTTACATTTACATTACATTTACTTTTCTCAGCAGAAGTGAATCAAATGCTGAGATATAGGCCTACTGTAAATATTTCTTATGTTTCTTACACTCCTTTAAATCAAGAAAGCCTCACAATGCCCCATGGAGCTTTGGCGACCCCTATGGGGTTTCCGAAACACTGATCTAAAGGAGCAATGAGTAGAATTTGGTGGCATCTAGCAGTGAAGATAACTGTAGAAACATGCCGGTTCAACTTGGCAGACTCCATACAAGAGAACCCGCTCCCTCAGTAGATAAGAATCTCATTCCAAGGTAACGAAAACACAACGATTCTTATTTCCAGGTAATTCTAAATGAAACAAATGAATATTACATTCCATTTCTGCTTATAGATGCTTTTAAATGTTACACATTGGACTATGATTCAGACCAAACGTTTCTTTCTTTGGTTCTTTTACCCATGAATGGAATTTTTACCAAACCATAAGCAAGATTTAGTTGACTAAACTTAACCAAACCTCAACCATAGAGGCAGCAGATAAAACAGCATCTAAAACCTTTCTGTAGGATCTGTGTGATGTAATATTGTTCCCATCTTCTAGAAAATCTGCAAAAGAAAATGCAAATTAATGCTTGTTTTCACCGCTATGCAGTTGGTTTCTTTGAGATAAGAAGTGGGTGGCGGCAATTCTCCAGTCTTGTGCGAACATGCCATTGCAGGAGAAGAAGGTGCAACAAGATGATGTAATTAAATGAGCGTCACTCAAACGGTGAAAAACAATGTAGTAAACATGATGTAAATATGGCTTTCCTGTTTGTTTTATGTATTAACCTGATAAACGTTACAGTCGACTAATTACTCCACATAGATCTAATGTTTTAATCTGCCGCTATTTTTCGTCTCTTCAGTGGAGGCACATCACATGCTTCGATGCATGTCATGATTTACTCACCAAGTCTGTTTCCATTGCACTAGATGTCGTCTGACGACTCATTGTGTAAGAAATGTCATTTCAAGCTTACTACATAAGTTGGGTATGTGTGTGTATGTGTGTGTAAGTACTCAAGTATTCATATGTTCAACAGCCTCACTCGAAGACAGGTGAAAAGCCAACCACCACAGAGAGGTGAGAGATGGTATAAATGTTTAAAGGTCCAGTGTGTAACATTTAAAATAATAATATCGTATTTTCATTAGTGTGTAATCAGCTGAATATAGGAATCATTAGGTTTTTATTACTTTAGAATGAGCCTTTTATATCTACCAACACCACAGGTCGACTTCCATGGAGTCAGCCATGTTGAACCGCCATGTTTCTACAGTAGCCCAGGAGGGAAAAAACAAACACCGGCGCTAGATATTTAGCAGCCACCATAGTTTTTCCTTCATGCTTGACGGAGTTGCAATCTGTAATTACACTACTAGATGCCACTAAATCGTACACACTGGACCTTTAAATGTGAGGATAACACATTTTCAGACAGTCTCTCCTGAAATACGTTGACAGTGTTGCACTTATTTGTACACATACAAATGATAAAGTGATAAGAAATAGTTGTAATGATTGAAAAAACTCAAACCCTGTTTACTCTCTCACCTCAACACACCTGGCCAATGTGTGGATGCTGGATTGGGAGTTGTTCAACTTTCCATTTGAGATTAACCATACTGGCAGCTTAAGTATAAATGTGTGTGTGTGTGTGTGTCTGTGTGTGGGAGAGAGAGGCAGAGACAGAGCTACACTTTTTCACCTCGTGCCCCAAATACCAGGCTCTGAGACAAACATTTTCCTTATATTGTAAAAATAAACCAACAGACAGAGAAAATGCCATATTTACTTGGGGAAATGCCCAAATGTGAAATCATTGCTGCAAAATGTATCACCTCCTGTAATGACCTAAGGGACAACCAGAGAACCCTGAGAAACACAATCTGCTATTTGACATATTTTTAATTGTTAATTCTAGAATTAATTAATATTATAATTTTAATATTTATATATTTTTTCATTCAATTTTTGTTATTGTTATTACTATCTCTGTGTAAATGGTTATATATGTATTTGATGCTATGCTATGATACACACACATACACATAGACAACTATATACAACTTTGCACACATCTCAATTCTGACAAACACACCACCAACAGGCACACACACACAATAGTAATGTCTTAATGCTTGGCATTGTCTTTGTTACACTTATGCCAATAAAATGAGACAGAGAGGGAATTGCTGAGGATGACGGATGTGACAATGACAGAAACCTCCTGTCCTCCATGTACAAAACAGGATGAATGATACGATAGTTCTTTACCGAGCTGAAACCTTTTCATTGCTTAGGAAGCATAATCTAGACAGAAGACAGGTTATTAAGTGGATGATAAAGGTTCTGACTGATATGCAATATGCTGCATAGCTTAATATATGAAGCACAGTGGAGTGATACAGTAATGATTCAGGTTTTGTGATGTGTCTCTGGGTTTTGGGCTCCATGCACTGAGGAAATTGTTGTGTCTTAGCCAAAACGATCAATCTGCCTATATTGGATGTGGGTCAATTCCATCCCATACTATAGCTGTTGACTTCCAAAACAATCAATACAGTAGAGAAACCACAATGTCTATTAACGCATCCATCCATCCATCCATCCA